ATAGGGTTTCTAAAGCTGTAAAATCTTTATAGAAGTACACTGCCTCATCTTTCTCCTGTGTAGTGTCTAGTGAGTTTGAACCTCTAACATTTTGGTTAGCAGCTGAATGGTTTAACCACTGTGCCACCAAAACTCCTTTACTGTGTCCAGTTCATCTTATGCAAAGTTGTTCCATGAATTAAGGCTGGACAGTAATTATTATTTTTTTAATCTCTCATCCTACCCTATTCAGTGTCCATTTCCACATAGTTCTTTAAAAACCAATAAAAAAACAAACCCACTGCCGTGGAGTCAGATCCGACTCATAGCGACCCCTCCTTGGGTTTCTGAGGCGGTATCACTACAGAAGTAGTTTGCCCAACCCTTCCTTCCAAGGAGTGGCTGGTGGGTTTGCAAGATCCTAAAATATCTTTTTATATTATTTTTTTAAATTTTTAATTTTTAATATTTTAAAAATTGTGATTTGGGTGCAAGTTTACAGAGCAAATTCATTTTCCATATAGCAGTTCATACACATTTTGTTTCATGAGATTGACTGCCATTCCCCACAATGTAACAGCTGTTCCCACTTCCTCCCTGTAGTTATCTCTTCCCTGTGTCTTTCTGCCCCATGTACACCTGTCCCCCTTCCGTACCCCACAGATACCTCTCTGTGCAAACACTGCCCTTCTATTCTCCCATGCTCCAAGGAGTGTATCTAACTGATGTAAATGTTTACCCCATATGCCTGAAAAGATCTTAAAATATCTTTCCAACTTTCAGACTTCAAAATTTAACTTTCCATGTCTTGCTTCTTGTTCTAGGAAGTATCAGGGACACTTTTAGTAATAATAAACTAAAAACAAAAAAACCAACCACCTCACTGCCTTTGACTCGATTCCACTCAGAGACCCCTGCATAGGTTTCTGAGGCTGTATCTCTAGAGAAGTAGACTGCCCAATCTTCCTTCTGAGGAATGGCTTTGAAGCAGGTTTGACCACAGGCCTTCTGGTTAGCAGTAAGATACCTTAGGCACTATGCTGTAATAGCTGATTATAAAATTTAAAGTAAACTATTAATTTTTTTTCTGTTACTTTCTCTTTAAACTTGCTTATTCTTTTAACATATCATGCTTTTATTTGGCCAAGTTTCATAAAAAATGTACTAAGACATACTAGAATGTAAAATATCATTATGCTTTCTACAAAGAAAATGCTCTTAAAACAAGTGTGTCAACAAAGGACTTATTTAACTTCTCTGAGATCAAGGACAGACTGTTTTTAAAGCTCCATTTTATGGCATCCTTATTTTCAACATTGAAGGTGCTACTTAAAGAGTGCTTCTTAGGACTGTACAAAAATTAAAATTTTCTTAGAGCTACACCTCAATTCCTAAAGTTACTCATGCCATTTAACTTTTCATTCTCAAACTTATTTCCCTTCCAAATATTTTACTACCACTGAAGTATACTGAATTTGCAGTAAGCCAAAGGAGCTCTGGTGGTGCAGTAGTTAAGGAATTTGGCTTCTAACCAAAAGGTTGGTGGTTCGAACTCACCATCCACTCTGTGGAAGAAAGATGAAGCAATCCTCTTCTGAGATTTACAGCCTTAGAAACCCAACAAGGGTTTCTGTGAGTCAGAATCGAGTCCATGGTGGTAAATTTGGTTTGGTTTAGGCAAAAAAAAAAAAAAAAATTAAAATTATACCTTAACATATAGCAAAAGAAATGAAAAAAATTAAAAATAAAGATACGACATATCCATGCAACAGGATATCCACTGGGAATTGCCTTATTGTCCAAAGACTGAAGACAAATACCACACTTTCTAAAGAAGCCTACAATACTTTGGGCCCAGGTACCCCCGCCAATGTTTAGGAAAAGAAAGTGCTACCCAGAAACCATTACCCAAGTCCACTCCCCTGTACCTTTTACCTCACCACACATAGTCTGTATCAGTTTAACTGGGCACTGAGAGGAGAAAGAGAGAAAAAAATTGCCCACATTGTGTGAGAGAATAAATTGACCAAAGTGCTAAGGCGTACTACTCTACAACTCTCTTCCCCAAGGCAAGTAATTTTAAAGAGAATCACTTGCAAAAATTGGAGGCACTTACCAAGAAGAAAAGAACTAGCAGCTATTTGAGCAAGGGGAAAGAGAGCTGGAAAAAGGTATCAAGAAAGATGGGCATATGGTGAAGTACCTGCTTTTCCTTGATTTTTCAGGATAAGAATGTGTGGGGTTCCTGTGTGCCAAGTGGGCATCACATAAGGTAGCTGGCTTTGAGCTGTGTGGTAGTTCAGTTTGTGTGTCAACACAGCTGGGCTTGGTTGAGTGGCTGGGCAGCTGGATGTAGTATTCCCCATGATGAGACTGGTAATCAACTCCATGGTGAAATCTACTATAAGCAGCTGAGTAGTTGTCTTAGGGAATGTGGTCTGCCCCAAGGCAGAAGCCTTGGGGAATGGTCTCTAGCCTGTGGCACGCTTGAACCCTACAGGTAGCTGTGTTGTTGGTTCAGCAGCCTGTTATGCTCTGCTGACTTGGGGATTTACAATGGACTTGAATTGATGGCCTGTCGTGTGGTTTGGTAACATCGAGACTGTCTTTTTACTTGTCAACCTTGGGCTTCTCAGCCTCAGCAGCAAGCAGCTGTCTGAGTGAAGAAAAGCCTCAAACTCCAGTGGGCCAGAAGCAGGAGGCAGAGCTGGACTTGAGGTTCGAGGGGCTTTCACCCAACCGCTAGAGCCTGGCACTTTGAACTTGGACTTAAAGCCTCCAAACTAAGATAATAAACTCCTGTTTGTTAAGGCCATCCCATTTGTGGTATGTTCGTGTCAGAGTGGCACTAGGTAACCAGAACAAGCTGTCTTACCAGTGTCCCACCAAGAGCCAAGCATCTGAAGCAAGAAGCTGTGGACTGTACTACTTGGGTGAGAACCAAGGAAAGGTAGAAGAGATGGAGTTGGAGTGGACTTTCCATTTAAGGTAATTATGCAATAGGGAGTCCTAGCTCATAGCCCACCCCACCCAAGAACTCACAGATGTACCTTACCAGAGAGCCAACATTTAGAGGTCTGCTACGGTGAGGCCATTAACAGAGAAAAATATTAACAGCCTCAAACAAATAAACAACTGTCCTGGTTACCTAGTGCCACTCTGACAAGAATATACAACAAACGGGATGACATTAACAAACGGGAGTTTATTCTTACCATTTGGAGGCTTTAAGTCCAAATTCAAAGTGCCAGGCTCAGGGGCTAGATGAAAGCCTCTCAACCTTGGGGACCAGCTTTGCCTCCTGCTCCTAGCCCACTGGAGCTAGAGGCTTTTCTTCACTCAGACAGCTGCTGGCTGCTGAGGCTGAGAAACTCCAAGGTTGACAAGAAAAAAGGCACAGCCCTGATGTTACCACATGGCAAGCCATTGACTTAAGTCCATTGTAAGTCCCAAGGTCGGCAGAGCATACCAGGCTGCTGAGCAACGACACGGCTACATGCAGGGTCCAAGTGTGCCATAGGCTAGAGACCATCCTCAAAGCTTCTCCTTATATACAGGAAGCAGACCACATACACAAAGGCAGCAACTCAGCTACTCCCAGTAGATTCCACCATGGAGTTGATTACCAGTCTCATCATGGGGAATACTATATCCAGCTGCCCAGCCACTCAACCAGGCCTAGCCAAGCTGACATACAAACATAACCATCACAACCACCTTACACTAAATGGATAAATCAAATAAAAATTGCCCAGAACAGAAAAACTTGACATATAGCAAGCCATATTTGGTTATTATTAAAGATAACACTAGAAAAATAATAAATACTTGTTCGCTTCCATTTCTCCCTTCGTTCCTCACCTCAAATAGCAGTAAAAGAGCAAAGACCCCTTTCTCAGGCTTGTCTGGCAACAGATTAGGGTATGAACATTGTATTAGTTCAGAGGGAGCAGAAAATTTAAATTGCATTAATTTAGAATGAACTGGGCATGTTAATAATTGCAAGTGACTGGAAAGATTTGGTATCTGTCTCACATGTTGTTACATTCGAGAAAGCAGAACTTGGCAGAACATGATTAAAGACAGTGAGGAAAAAATTAAATTGCTCTGTTTTTACCCCACCAAGCTCGTCTGTTCAGTAAACTGTCTGGTTAGTACAAACATTATAGATTAGTGTGTAATTTAAGTTGACACTGACTTATTTAAGAGGGGGAAATAGTCAAATGAAAGCCTTAAGAAAGAATTATCCAGTAATACACTTCAAGGTATGACATATGACATTACTTACAGCCACGTGTAAATAGAAAAAAACTTCCCCTACATGGACATTTTACTGAATATTTCTGTTTGTTTTTTTTTAAAAAATCTAATATGCATTGACACATATAATAGAGAGAAACAGCCTTGCTAAAGTGGGGTTTTACTTTCTTAAAATAAGCTCCATTATAAGATGCCCTAGGATGAAATTCAAGGTTGCCAGAATTCCTCTTACTCTAACACCTACTGCTTTGGGACACAAGACTCTTATCTAGCCTGTTGCCTGATCTACAGATTTTGAACTTGCCAGCACCCACAATCATGTCAGCCAACTTCTCAGAGCTCTCTCTGTGTGCACATGCACACACACACACATATACCTCTTACAGGTTCTGTTTCTCTAGAGAACCCTAATACAATAGGCAAGGTTCACAAAAACTGGGAGTTTGGTGTGGCATGGGTGTATCTGCTGAGAACTCAGCAAAGTTCTTTTCAGTAATAATGTCTCATGACATTTCCTTACATTCTGGGAGAGGATATAACAATTCTCTACAACAAACACTCCTTAAGTAACAAGGTTTCAACACAGGAAGGCTCCACTGGAAGGGGTACCTTACAAAGGGATATTTTTCCACACTAAGAAAATTCTGGCCAGGTTATGGCCAAGTAGTGACCGATATATTCTAGGTTTCCATCTGCCTCCTTACAACAAGCAAAAGGATTTAAAACTCCCAGAACAGAACTCAATATACTTAAACATACACTCAACATCACTAATTTATTTGGAATCAGAATTAACAAAAGAACATTTGACAATTGTGAAATATATATTTATTCTGATACCACCACTTAGTTGTACAATAATCCACGAAAAATTACCAGACTGATTTTATATATTGCTTCAGGACTGGGGTTTTTCAACAGCTTCAAATTTGGGATCTAAGAGGGAAAAAAACAGGTTCATGCTTAGTCAAACTGTAAAAATATGCATTATTTATAATTTGTCAAGATTTAGTCAGTCTTCTCATTTTTTTAATATATACATATTTTAAACATCTTATGTAGAAATAGAACAGTTAAAAATTTATTCAGCCCTTACAATGCCAGGCTCTGTACTAACCAACTTTACGTATATTACCATATTTAACTACAACAAGCATATGAAGAGGAGCTCTGGTGGCATAGTGCCTAAGGCATTTGACTGTTAACTAGAAGGTCGGCGCTTCAAACCCACCAGCTGCTCCACAGAAGTAAGACAGAGCAATGTACTTCCATAAAGATTTATCTTCTTGGAAACCCAAACAGTGTCACTATGAGTCAGAATCGACTCAATGGCAGTGAGTTTGGTTTGGTTTGTTTGAATCATATGAAAAAGACAGAACTTCCCCTAAATGCCAGATACAGAAACAGGTACCTGTTAACCATCCAAGTTCACCCAGGTCATAAATGTCAGAATTCACTATCATGGAGTTTGAGTCCAGATTTCTTCTGTTTACCCTTTATGTTATGTGGTTTCCTATACTGATGGCACACACTTTCCTAAGAGCTTTCTATACACGTATCATTGACCTACTAAATTCACCAGTATTTGTCATTCAACAACGCAAATAAATCAGCAAATAAAAATATTCTTCCCTAAAATAATCTTCCACAGGCATAAATCTGTGATTAACAGGACTTGCCTTCGAATTGGAAGCTTGGGAATGTATTCATGTCTGCTTTACCATACATTTGCTTAAGCTTAAAAAGCTCCTTCTCCAGCTCTTGCTGATATTCTGGGCCAACATCAACAGGTCCTCCAGATGCTCTGTTGTGTAAATGAACAAAGAAAAACTCATTTTATAGACTAGTTTACAAAAACAAAATTACTTTTCACCATGAAGTTTTAATACACCTTTTAAACAAATTCTGAAATTCAGTTTTTTAGTATCAAGGATACTTTTTTTAAGAGTTTCAAAATGCAGGAATTTGCAATCTGTCAGCTCTGTCATTTAATAACTGTGAAAATAGGAATAAATCACTAAGTGCTTTAAACTGCAGTTTATATATCTAAAAAGGAAGGTCCTTACTAATCAGTGTTGAAAGAAATTAAAGAAATAATGCACATGTACCACTTAGCTCAGAGCCTGGCACTGAGTGAGCACTCAAAATCTGTTACCTATTAAGGTAACTAGTACCTTTAAATCAGCCACCACTAAATGTTTACATAAGTCTTTTAAAACATCTTAGTAAATTTAAGTCTCTATAATACAGGCCTAGGAGCTCTGGTAGCATAGTGGCTAAGACACTTGCCTGCTAACCAGACGGCTGGCGGTTCAAACCCACCAGCCACTCCTCGGAAGGAAGGTTGGGCAATCCTACTTCCGTAGTGATACTGCCTCAGAAACCCAAGGAGGGGTCGCTATGAGTCGGGGCCGACTCGACGGCACATAACAACAACAACAACAATACAGGCCTATCTAAGAAGTAAAATATTTTCTACTCTCAAAGACGGCAGTTTGGAAAAAAAAAAAAGTTATATGTTTACAAATATTTGTAGTGCCAAGGGAGTTCTGTGATAAGCTTCAAAAGCACTGTTTAACAAAAAGTTATTCAAGATTACTTTCTGGTGAACTAATCAGGGAAAATTTTATTTACAAATGTAGTATTTGAGGTAAATAAGGTATGGTAGGTCAAATACACTTGATTTTCATTTGAAACTATTAAATGACTGAAAATATAAAGTCACAGAGGTGGTAAAGCATTGGCTCTGAAGGGAACTACCAAGTAGTCTAGATAAAAAAGCCAGCAGGACCTGGATCATGGTAGACCTAAAATGGTAAGTCTGGAAGTTTGTAATTTATTTGCTAAACAATAAAATGACAAAATGAGAGCTGTGCTCTGGGATAATAAATACAGACTCACGGACAAGGAGCAGGATCTATTAGATCTAATGGATTCACTTCACAAATTTTTCTGGCAACTATCAATGAAAATTAGTAACTTGAAAGTATTTACAAGTGAGACATCTATTAAGGGTAGTAGCACTTTCACATATGCCTATGATCAAAGTATAGAGTGTTACATTAAATATTTTTTTTCTTTTTACAAAAGTACCTTAATTGACAACTTCAGTTTAAGAATTTGTTAATGATGCTTCTTGTGACAGACCTAATTTTCTTCTACATCAGCACTAATAGACTTTCAGTGGTGATAAAAAGTGCTCTCCATCTGTGCTGTCCAATATGGTATCCACTACTCATATCTGAGCTCTGGTGGTGTAATGGTTACAGCATTTGGCTGCAAACCAAAAGGTTAGTGGTTCGAACCCACCAGGTGCTCCACGGAAGAACAATGAGGCAGTCTGCTTCCGTAAAGATTTATAGCCTTGCTCTGTAAACTTTTTAGGAGCTCTGATAGCACAGGGCCTAAGGCACTTGACTGCTAACCAGAAGACTGGCGGTTCAAACCCACCAACCACTCCTCGGAAGGAAGGTTGGGCAATCTACGTCCGTAGAGATACCACCTCGGAAACCCAAGGAGGGGTCGCTACGAGTCAGGGCCAACTCAACAGCACGTAACAACAACAACACTCATATCTGAGGAGTCCCTGGGTTGTACAAATTGTTAAGTGTTCAACTACTAGCTGAAAGGCTGGTGATTTGAACTCACCTAGAGGCATCTCAAAAGACAGGACCTGATCATAAAAAAAAGGGACCAGGTTTGCTGGTCCGATAGAGCCTGGTAGAACACCTCAGATTATGGCCCCCTAGCTGCCCTTTAGGTCTGGAATTAAACCCACTCCTGTGGCTTCCAGCTAAACAAAAGATAGGCATATGAGCTGAATATTTACATTAGACAGATACACTTCTTGGAGAGATCAATCATGAGAGAATAGAAGGGCTGTGTACATACAGGGAGACAGCTCAGGGGGCAGGAGTGCATGGAGGGAAGGACATAGGGAAGAGGTAAGTATGAGGAGGAAGTGGGAAGAGAGCTGTTGCATTGTGGGAAATTGCAGTCAATGTCACAAGAGAAGTGTATGTGAACTGCTGTATGGAAAATGAATTTGCTCGGTAAAATTTTACCCAAATCACAATTAAAAAAAAAAAAAAAAGGCCCTGGCAATCTGATATGAAAGGTCACAGGTCACATCATTGAAAATGTTATGGAGCAATTACATACCTCACACATAGGGGCTCCATGACTCAGAAGCTAACAAGAGTCATATTTGGCTACTGAGTACTAGAAATGTGGCTAAACTGACTAAATGAATTTTTATTTTATTGTAACTAAATTTAAAACCTTATGTACACAGTGGTGAATAGTGCAGTCTAGATTGCCTTCAACCAGATATTCTTCCATGTCTGGCATACACAAAGTTTTAGAAGATCCAATCAGTCTCAACAATTTGATACTGCCTCGGAAATCCAAGGAGGGGTCGCTATGAGTCAGGTCCAACTCGACGGCACACAACAACAACAACTGTTACCTTTAATATGCAATTCTCTTATGACAAAAAAGAGTCCAAAAATCATCTGTCTCTTCAACTGAGTACGTGTTTCTGCCCATTTTCTTTACTACTATATCCTCTGGGTCTAGCACAATGACTGGAACAAAGTAGACATTTCAAAAGGTAATTGTTTACTTAAATAAATTTCCTCCTTGCCAAAGTATCAATTCCAACTCATAATGACCCGACAGGACAAAAGGACAAAGTAGAACTTTCCCATTGGGTTTCCAAGGCTGTAATTTTTACAGAAGGAGCCCTGGAGGCACAGCTTAAAAATGCTTAGCTATTGACAGGTTACTGGTTTGAACCCGCCAGCTGCTCCATGGGAGAAATATGTGGCAGTTTTCTTCTGTGAAGATTTATAACTTTAGAAATCATATGGGGCAGTTCTATTCTGTCCCATGGGGTTGCTATGAGTCAGAATGAACTCAACAGCAAAAGGTTTGATTTTTTTGGTTTCAATCTTTATGGAAACAGACTGCCATATCTTTTTCCCATGGAGCTGCTGGTGGGTTTGAACTGCCAACCTTAGAGTTAGAAAATGTTCTAGTTACCTAGTATCGCTCTGACAAAAATATATACCACAAATGGGATGGTGTTAACAAACAGGAGTTTATTCTCTCACAGTTTGGAGGCTTTAAGTCCAAGTTCAAAGCGTCAGGCTCTAGGGGCTGGATGAACCCTGGGCTTCAGCTCTGCCTCTTGCTTCCAGCCCACTGAAGCTAGAGGCATCTCTTCACTCAGGCAGTTACTGGCTGCTGAGGCTAACAAGCCCAAGGTCGACAAATAAAAAGGCACAGTCCTGATGTTACCAAACCACACAGCAGGCCATTAATTCAAGTCCATTCTAAGTCCCAAGGTTGGCATAGCATGGCAGGCTGCTGAACAATGACATGGCTACATGGAGGGTCCAAGCATGCCATA